TAGGGAGAGAGAACGTTTTTGTAATGTTACCTGTAATGTTCCCCTAATGTTTGAGTGTCCAGTTTTCCATTAGTTAGTGGAACATTCTATCTATGTTAGGAAAAACCTTTTTAGAATGTTTTGGTGTTAAAGTTAGGAGAATGTCAAAACAGAACATTCACATAACATAGTTACCATGTTCTCAGAATATACAATTTGTTTTACATTTTTTGTCATTTAGCAGACGCTCTTATCCAGAGCGACTTACAGTTAGTGCATACAATGTTTTATTTTAACATTCTTTTTTTTTTTATACTGGCCCCCCTGTGGGAAACGAACCCACAACCCTGGCGTTGCAAACGCCATGCTCTACCAACTGAGCTACATCCCTGCCGGCCCTCCCCTACCCTGGACCAATTGTGCGCCGCCCCATGGGTCTCCCGGGCGCGGCCGGCTACGACAGAGCCTGGATTCAAACCAGGATCTCTAGTGGCACAGCTAGCACTGCGATGCAGTGCCTTAGACCACTGCGCCACTCGGGAGACAATATTAATGTTCTAGTCACGTTTCATGAGAATGTTGCAAGAACATTCATGTGTCCAGTTTTCTGAGGGTTAAGAGAATATTCCATCAATGTCCCACCAAACATACACAGAACATGGTTGCCATGTTCTCAGAACATATGATATTAATGTTCTAGACACGTTTCATGGGAACATTGCAAGAACATTTCTGTGTATCAGTTGTCAGGAAGTCGCCTGATGAAACCAAAAAATATGTTTTCATTACACCTTCTTACTGCTGCCGAGCCAATCAAGGCCCTGATTGGTGAACCACTGATCCATTCATAGCTCTTTGTCTGTTGGCAAGGGATACTCACACAGTGCCTTTAACATACAGGGTTTTCAACTTACATATTTGACACACTTGATTATATTGTGCATGTTAATTTATACAGTAATTATTATTCAACAGTCCTCACCTGGGATTTGAACTCACAACCTCTTGGTTCACAGTACACCGATCTTCCTGCTATGCCACCATGACCATGTCATGTATTGGTTAATCTGACTATTCTCATCATTGATTTGATTTACTTATTTCAGCAATTTAAGGGCTTTCAGTATAGCTGTCTAATGGGGCATGTTAAATCTGTTTTAATGTTACTCCTGAATCATTATGATCAATAAATGTTTTTCTTGAATGTACTTTTAACAGAGCTGAGATTTACTAACTATACTGGCCCAATAAGCACTTGTCCTAGAGATAACCCTTATTGGGACAGTGGTTAGGGCATTTGTCAATGGTGCTGGTGGCCTGGGTTCAAGACCTGCTAGAGGAATCACCGTACTCTCACATTCTTAGCTAAATATGTTAATGTCATTATTTAGCAACAGTTACAGTACAACACACCTATCTGATCTAATTAAAATGATTTTCTCATTATCCACGTTTCCATTCACAGTTTTTATGCAAGTGAAGTCATACCGTATTTAAAAAATCACGACAGCAGTGATGGAAACAGGAAGTTTCGGTACAATTGTATAAATGCTGACAGATCATTTGTTCGTTCAACGTGGTGCGATCTTTTTGTGTCGGTAAAACTAATTATGTGAGAAATGGATGTGGAAATGAATTTATGAGCAAATATTGATATAACAACCATCATATCGAAGTAAATGTGGAGTCATGCGGATGATATGGTGTGTGGTCCTCCCACTACAACTCAGGAAACCATTACGTTTATTAGGCTACTTCACAGGGTGGTGAAAGTGCACAGTGATCTTGATGCTCCTTTCCAATAAATATTGAGGGTCTTATTCTAGTGACATGATAATCGATGCTTGACTGCCATTTGACAAATAAAAATATTCTCGCTCTTACGCATAATAATCTCATCATGTAGACTAGCCTACCCTGCACTGTATCAGTAAGCTGTTTACTAGAGTGCACGTGCCAAGACCAGAGTAGGCACAGTGCACGTGCCAAGACCAGAGTAGGCACAGTGCACGTGCCAAGACCAGAGTAGGCACAGTGCACGTGCCAAGACCAGAGTAGGCACAGTGCACGTGCCAAGACCAGAGTAGGCACATTTGCTATTTAACGCAACAGTCTTTGTGACAAAACTATCGGTAGAGTTGAAAATGCGATGGAAACACATTGAACTTGAGCTTTTTTGGTACATGAAAACGTAAGCAAATAAATATAGAGGCTTATTCTGGTGACATGATGATCAATGCTTGGCTACCGTTTCACCCCCTAAAAAAATCTCACTATTTTGTCCATAATAGAAATCTCTTCATGTAGATAGCCTACCCCTACTGTATCTGTGAGCTGTAGACTACAGCACACGTGCCAAGACCAGAGTGGGCACATTCGCTATATAACACACATTTGTTTGTGAGAAAACCATCAGTAGAGTTGAAAATGCGATGGAAACCGATTTAACTTGTATTTTTTATTCCGTGCTTGGGAATTTAACCGCAATGTTTACTTTGAAATGATTTAGGCTTGCCATAACAAAGGGGTTGAATACTTATTCACTCAAGACATTTCGGCTTTTCATTTTTAATTAATTGGGAAACATTTCTAAAAACATAATTACACTTTGACATTATGGGGTATTGTGTGTAGGCCAGTGACCAAAAAAATCACAATTTTAATACATTTTAAATTCAAGCTGTAACACAACAAAATGTAGAAAAAGTCAAGGGGTGTGAATACTTTCTGAAGGCAATGTATATGCCTATTTCAAATTATTTGACAAATGAATAAATAGAGTTTTGCTCTTCTCATCATACAGTATATTCGCCATTTGCACAAGGCTACTAGGCTACTTTTGCCTTTTTGCAATGCAATACTTCAACCACTAGAAACTGTGTGTATGCATGGTCTAAAGTTTGCAGGAGGATAAGCACATTCTCACATCAACTTTGGGCGCACGCATGTTTTGGGGCATATTTTGTGCATACACATCATTTATAAATGAGGCCCCAGGTGAAGACATGTTGAATAATAATTACTCTATAAATGAACATTCACAATGTAATCATCTACGTCAAAGTGTGTCAAATATGTAAGTTGAAAACCCTGTATGTTAAAGGCACTGTGTGAGTATCCCTTGCCAACAGACAAAGAGCAATGAATGGATCAGTGGTTCAACAATCAGGGCCTTGATTGGCTCGGCAACAGTAACGAGGCTCGATGTGTAATGTTTTTTGTTTTTTTTCAGAACATAAGATATTAATGTTCTAGACACGTTTCATGGGAACATTGCAAGAACATTCATGTGTCCAGTTTTCTGAGGTTTGGGAGAATATTCCTTTCAACGTCCCTTCAAACATACAGAGAACATGGTTGCCATGTTCTCAGAACATAATATATTAATGTTTGGGTTGACGTTGATGGAATATTCTCCTAACCCACATAAAACTGGGACACATGAATGTTCTTGCAACGTTCCCATGAAACGTGTCTAGAACATTAATATATACAATTCGGAGAACATGGTAACCACTTTCTGGGTAAGTTCTATTTGACATTAAGGGAATGGTCTCTTGGAAGCATTTCTTGGACATCACAGGAACATTCCTATGAAAAAGTTAGTTAATGACCGAATGAGACTCTTAAGGGAAAATTCTCTAAAGTTGTGGGAATGTTTGTTGTTAGCTGGGTAAGCAGTTCAGCTGATATGAGTAGCATGTCTATATGAAACAAACAGTGCTTTTGTAACCCATGATAATAAAATTACATCATTTTAAATTAGCCAATGACATTAAGTCAAAACATCTGTATGACCTGACCTTAAATATGTGTGTTCATCTCTGTCTTTCTTTCTTTCTTTCTTTCTTTCTTTCTTTCTTTCTTTCTTTCTTTCTTTCTTTCTTTCTTTCTCTTTCTTTCTTTCTTTCTTTCTTTCTTTCTTTCTTTCTTCTTTCTTCTTTCTTCTTCTTCACTCTCTCTCCCTCTCTCCCTCCATCTCCCTTCCTGTCTCCCTCCCTCTCTCCCTTTCTGTCTGTCAGAGTGAGGAGAAGGTGCGCCAGCTGCATGAGTTGTTAGAGTTGGCAGAGCAAAGACTGGCTCAGACCATGAGGAAGGCTGAGACACTACCAGAGGTGGAGGCAGAGTTGGCACAGAGGGTGGCAGCCCTCACCAAGGTAACAACACATACAGTCCTAAACACAAATACAGAGGCTGGATGTCAATTGAACCCTCCATAGCAATGTTCACAGATTTAATTCAGTCAACAAGAAAGCATCTATCTGTAAGGGGAAGGTATCTGTTATTAGTTGTAGGATTTCACAGTAACCAAAACAGTACCCAGTTTATTGGACCATGTGAAAAAAACGCTAGCCTAGGTCTGTAAATGCAGGTTTGATTGTGTTGGGTCCTATGTCTCCCCCTGCAGGCTGAGGAGCGTCATGGCAACGTGGAAGAGCGACTCAGACAGCTGGAGTCACAACTTGAGGAGAAGAACCAGGAACTAGGCAGGGTGTGTATGTGTGTGTGTGTGTGTGCGTGTGTGTGCATGTGTGTGTGTGTTATACTTTAGCCTTGCCCTGCAGGCTTTCTCTGACCTCTCTGAGTGCAGCGTAGGCCGATGCTTCACATTAGCCTGGCCCCTTGAATTTGTCTCTCCATGCTCCCTCTCTCTCACACACACACACACACACACACACACACACACACATATACACGTCCTTCTCATTTAGAGCATTACACACTCACAACGCCTTTTTATAAATATGGACCAAATCCACACATTTTCTGGCGCAGCCTGTTTCCCCTCACAGAGCTCTGATTGGCTGATATATTTAGAATTTGAATACTTCACGCTTGACTAATTTCTAGCTCTGCATGTGAGCTCATGTGTATTTAGTTAATGAAAACAGATGTGAATGTGAATGTGTGTGTACGTGTGTGTGGTTGAGATATGATGTCAAGGTAGTTTTCCCACTGATGAAGAATGCATAATACAATGTTGCCAAATCAAGTCCATTCTCTCTCCTGGTGTTGTGCCCATGGAGTTTGTATTGAGTGCTTCTGTATGTGGGTGACAATAATCATGAACTTTAAACCTCTTTTTCTCTTCCCTTCTCGCTCTCTTCCGCTCTCTCTCAGGCACGTCAGAGAGAGAAGATGAATGAAGAACATAACAAGCGTTTGTCTGACACGGTGGACCGTCTGCTCACTGAATCTAACGAGAGACTGCAGCTCCACCTTAAAGAACGCATGGCAGCACTGGAGGACAAGGCATGGCCCGCCACACACACACACAGACACACACACACACAGACACACACACACAGACACACACACATGACATACTCACAAGGACTATAGTGATTCCCAAATGATAGCTGAACAGTGATGTCATATCCTTTTCCTGTTGGTTCCAGAACTCCCTGATCCAGGATCTGGAGAACTCCCAGAAACAACTGGAGGAGTTCCACCACACCAGGGTGAGTCAGGGCCTGGACACACAACACATGAACAATCCAACAGGCATTCCCTCTATCCCTCCAAAGTCATATTCATTTCTACTTTTCTCGCACAAGAAAAATTGAGGACAAATTATGGATAACCACAAACCACTGAGGTTGGAAGAGAGTTGAACTGTTACAAATATTGTGATTGGACATTGATGTTGTTCTATTAACAATCCCACAATTCCTTTCTTCCTCAGGAGCGTCTGATTGGTGAGATTGAGAAGCTGCGGAACGAGATCGACCACCTGAAACGCCGGAGTGGAGTGTTTGGAGATGGATCACACCCACGGTACACACAGACAGACAGACACACAGACAGACAACATACACTATACACACACACACTAATCCCACACTTGTCCCATACTAGCACCCTGTACTGACCAGGTCTTCTGTTGTGTGTGTGTGTGTGTGTGTGTGTGTGTGTGTGTGGTGTTGTGTGTTGTGTGTGTGTGTGTGTGTGTGTGTGTGTGTGTGTTGTGGTGTGTTGTGTGTGTGTGTGTGTGTGTGTATAGGTCTCACATGGGCAGTGCCAGCGACCTGTGTTTCTCAGTGGTAGAGGGGCAGGATGGACACTACAGCTCTGCTGTCATCAGACGGGCACAGAAGGGGCGCCTGGCAGCGCTACGGGACGAACCCAACAAGGTAACCACATACACTCACTCACATACACTCACACACACACACACACCGCACCCACACACCTGTGCCAAACTTGGTACCCTCCCCTGTGCCTGTGTGTCCAATTTCTGTGCCCATCAAGCTCTGTCATGAAACCCCACATATCATTTCTTCCTCTCCACATATCCCCCCTCCCTGTCCTCACCTTTTTGTATTGTCCCCCCTCCTCCTGCCTCCCTCTCTTCCCCTCCCTCTCTTCCCCTCCTCTTCTTCCCCATCCCCTCTTCCCCCTCTCTCTCTTCCCCTTCTCCCTCATGCTGATGATCTGATGGCCCTGATGAGGGAAGTTACACAGTACTATGGTGATAGTTGTTAAGCTTACACACCACTGCATTTGTCCCTCATTGCATACAGCTCTCACCTAACCAATGCTTCTCTCTCTGACCCCTGCCACCTTGGACATACTTCTGTGTGATGTAAGTGGTGTTTCTTTATCAAAACGAGTGTTTGGAAAGTGTTTACATATGAGGTGTGAGTGTGGATTTGTTAGGGTATCTGACTTTGTTTTTACTTGATGGTTGTACTGTGTGAATGTTTGTAACGGTTTTGTTTTGTGTTGTCTCTATTGTTACACGTGTTGTTCGGTATTGGTAACAGTGTGTGTGTGTGTGTGTGTGTGTGTATCTACTGTACATGTGTGTGCGATGTGTAACAGTGTGTGTGGTGTGTCTACCCTACAGGTGTGTGAGCAGGACTACTCGTCTCTTCGCGGCAGCGTCAGTCACCTCCTGGGCAGTGACATGGAAGCGGAGTCAGACCTAGATGATGATGTTAGCTCCGCCCTCCTGTCACCTAACGGCCAATCAGATGCACAGACTCTGGCTCTGATGCTGCAGGAGCAGCTGGATGCCATCAATGAGGAGATCAGGTAAGAGAACACACAAACACATAGTTATTATGTAGTTATTATGTGTGTATGATGTAGATATTATGTGTGTGTATTATGTAGTTATGTGTGTATTATGTAGTTATTATGTGTGTATGATGAAATTATTATGTGTGTATGATGTAGTTATAATGTGTGTATTATGTAGTTATTATGTGTGTATTATGTAGTTATTATGTGTGTATTATGTAGTTATTTGTGTGTATGTAGTTATGTGTGTATAATGTAGTTATAATGTGTGTATTATGTAGTTATTATGTGTGTACTGTGTAGTTATGTGTGTATTATGTAGTTATGTGTGTATTATGTAGTTATGTGTGTATTATATAGTTATGTGTGTATTATGTAGTTGTAATGTGTAGTTATTATGTGTGTATTATGTGTGTATTATGTAGTTATTATGTGTGTATTATGTAGTTATTATGTGTGTATTATGTAGTTATTATGTGTGTATTATGTGTGTATTATGTAGTTATTATGTAGTTATTATGTGTGTATTATGTAGTTATTATGTGTGTATTATGTGTGTATTATGTAATTATTATTTGTGTATTATGTAGTCACAGATAGAACAATGAGCCAGATGTTTCACCAGATGTAAACATGTGAAGCATGTGGTTGGCATTTCCACTCACCACCAAATATGTGTGTACTGTGTAGTTAATGTGTGTATTATGTAGTTATTATGTGTGTATTATGTAGTTATGTGTGTATTATGTAGTTATGTGTGTATTGTGTAGTTAATATGTGTATATTGTGTAGTTATTATGTGTGTATTGTGTAGTTATTGTGTAGTTATTATGTGTGTATTATGTAGTTATTATGTGTGTATTATGTAGTTATTATGTGTGTATTATGTAGTTATTATGTGTGTATTATGTAGTCACAGATAGATATAAACATGTGAAGCATGCGGTTGGCATTCCCACTCACTAACAAATATGGTGATGAGAGGAAGCCCAGTGGCCGGCAGTGGGAGAAGTGGAGCGAGATGGATTTTGGCTGACATTCAGCACATTTTCTCATCGATGAAACATTTGAGCGCAATACAGTTTTCTTTTCCCAAAACTAAAATCAGTTACGAAAATGAGTGGACTAAGTTTTGTACCCTTTGCCAAAGTTTCAAAAAATTGCGTCGTTTAGAAGGAGTGAAAGGGCAAATTGAGTTATTGCACACACGCACTTCACAGAGTAGGCGTTCCCTAACGGAAATATGCAAATACATGCTACAACGCGCCAATAGGATCTCGCTAGCTCGTGCTTGGCTCTGTCCACCTCCTTGCTTGTTCTGCCCACTATAATTAATTTGCTCTCATTGGAAACGACAGGCTGTGGTCTATCTTGGGTTTGTTATAAAAATCTTTGATGTAGTTATCATGTCTCATCCCACTGTACTCTCTCTGTGGTGTAGGATGATCCAGGTGGAGAGAGAGTCTGCTGACCTCAGGGCAGATGAGATAGAGTCTCGTGTGAACAGTGGGAGCATGGACGGACTAAACGTTACACTCCGCCCCCGAACCATGCCCACTTCAGCTACCGCCCAATCACTGGCCTCCTCCTCGTCCCCGCCCACCAGTGGACGCTCCACTCCCAAACACCATGCACACAACGCAAGCCACCAGCTAGGCATCATGACCCTGGTGAGACACAAAAACACACACACACACACACACTGAACCATCAGAGAGGACTAACCTGAATGCACATTTGGATTGATGTACTCACAATGTTTACAATGTAAAAGAAAAAGTCACTCCACTGCTGCTTATGCATTCTCTCTTCAGTAACTCCAGTAACTGGTTTTGATTATATGTCTAACACCTGGTTGTGTCTAACAATGTGTGTGTGTGTCTGTGTGTCTGTGTGTGTGTCTGTGTGCCTGTGTGCCTGTGTGTCTGTGTGTCTGTGTGTCTGTGTGCCTGTGTGCCTGTGTGCCTGTGTGCCTGTGTGTCTGTGTGTCTGTGTGCCTGTGTGTCTGTGTGACTGTGTGCCTGTGTGCCTGTGTGTCTGTGTGTCTGTGTGCCTGTGTGCCTGTGTGTCTGTGTGCCTGTGTGTCTGTGTGCCTGCCTCCCGTCTCTAACAGCCAAGCGACTTAAGGAAACACCGCAGGAAAATAGCAGTAAGTCTGTTTCCTCTTCATCTTAACCTGACAAAACTAAGAGAGACAGTATAGTTCCCAGCTTTGCTCCCTTAGAATACAACAGATATTTGAATAGATTTGGGACGTACTGAAAGGTTGCGATAGGAAGTACATGACTATTCCCACTGGACAAGGTGAAGTATCACAGCCTCTGTGAGAAAGGGTTTGCTCCTATTGGAAGCCTACTGACCCAGGTAAAGTGGCTTCACTCTTTTTCACCTACCCTCCTCTCTCTCTCTCTCTCATTACCTCTCTCTCTCTCCCCCTCCTTCTCTCTCTCTCTCTCCTCCAGTCTCCAGTGGAGGCCCGTGAGGACAAGGCTACTATCAAGTGTGAGACGTCTCCCCCCTCCTCCCCCCGCAGTCTGAGACTGGAGACCAACTTCGCCCAACTCACTGGCAGTCTGGAGGACGGACGAGGGTAAACACACACCCCCACACTTATTCATTCAAACACTCACTCTCACATACTCCCTGACTCTCTCTCTCTCTCTCTCTCTCTCTCTCTCTCTCTCTCTCTCTCTCTCTCTCTCTCTCTCTCTCTCTCTCTCTCTCTCTCTCTCACCCCCTCGGTCTCTCTTCCACCCCCCCCCCCTCTCTCTCTCTCTCTCTCTCTCTCTATCTGTCCCTCGCTACAGGGGTAAAGCAAAGAAGGGCATCAAGTCGTCTATAGGTCGTCTGTTTGGGAAGAGCAAGGAGAAGGGCAGGATGGAGGGAGGAGGGACTCTGGGGAGGGAGGGACAGCCTCTGCCAGCCCTGATGCCGGGAGGTAACACACCCATACCTTTACCTACATCACCATTACTTGTCTTGCTTAGGCTACTACTATATGTTAAGGGATGTGTGGGTGATGCTGTGTCTGTTGTGTGTCTGTTGTGTGTCTGTTGTGTGTCTCAGTAGACTTTGAGATGAGCATCGGAGACACCATGACTCTGGGCAAGCTGGGCACACAGGCAGAGAGAGACCGCAGGATGAAGAAGAAGTAAGATCTCTGTCTATCTCTCTCTCTCACACACACACACATACAGTCGTGGTCAAAGGTTTTGAGAATGACACAAGTATTGGTCTTCACAAAGTTTGCTGCTTCAGTGTTTTTAGATATTTTTGTCAGATGTTACTATGGTATACTGAAGTATAATTACAAGCATTCCATAAGTGTCAAAGGCTTTTATTGACAATTACATTACGTTTATGCAAAGAGTCAATATTTGAAGTGTTGACCCTTCTTTTTCAAGACCTCTGCAATCCGCCCTGGCATGCTGTAAATTAACTTCTGGGCCACATCCTGACTGATGGCAGCCCATTCTTGCATAATCAATGCTTGGAGTTTGTCAGAATTTGTGGTTTTTTGTTTGTCCACCCGCCTCTTGAGGATTGACCACAAGTTCTCAATGGGATTAAGGTCTGGGGAGTTTCCTGGCCATGGACACAAAATGTCGATGTTTTGTTCCCCGAGCCACTTAGTTATCACTTTTGCCTTATGGCAAGGTGCTCCATCATGCTGGAAAAGGCATTGGTCGTCACCAAACTGTTCTTGGATGGTTGGGAGAAGTTGCTCTCCGAGGATATGTTGGTACCATTCTTTATTCATGGCTGTGTTCTTAGGCAAAATTGTGAGTGATCCCACTCCCTTGGCTGAGAAGCAACCCCACACATGAATGGTCTCAGGATGCATTACTGTTGGCATGACACAGGACTGATGGTAGCGATCACCTTGTCTTCTCCAGACAAGCTTTGTTCCGGATGCCCCAAACAATCGGAAAGGGGATTCATCAGAGAAAATGACTTTACCCCAGTCCTCAGCAGTCCAATCCCTGTACCTTTTGCAGAATATCAGTCTGTCCCTGATGTTTTTCCTGGAGAGAGGTGGCTTCCTCGCTGCCCTTCTTGACACCAGGCCATCCTCCAAAAGTAGGTGCAAAGCATGATGACGGCACGTGTTTCCTTGCAGGTAACCATGGTTAATAGAGGAAGAACAATGATTTCAAGCACCACCCTCCTTTTAAAGCTTCCAGTCTGTTATTCTAACTCAATCAGCATGACAGAGTGATCTCCAGCCTTGTCCTCGTCAACACTCTCACCTGTGTCAACAAGAGAATCACTGACATGATGTCAGCTGGTCCTTTTGTGGCAGGGCTGAAATGCAGTGGAAATGTTTTTGGGGGATTAAGTTCATTGTTATGATCACTCTTCATAACATTCTGGAGTATATGCAAATTCCCATCATAAACACTGAGGCAGCAGACTTTGCGAAAATTAATATTTGTGTCATTCTCAAAACTTTTGACCACGACTGTACATACATACATACACATACAAGGTTAACTGGTTGTGTCTCTCTGACAGTTGGATTGTGAATAACATTTTAGAAGCTGTGAAGACCTCTCTTTCTTTCGCTCTCTCTATTTAACTATCTCTCTCTCTCTTGCTCTCTCTCTCTCACCTGTCTCTATGTCAGACATGAGCTACTAGAGGAGGCCAGGAGGAGAGGACTGCCCTTCGCCCAGTGGGATGGACCCACTGTGGTCTCCTGGCTAGAGGTATAACCCCTGACCTCTGACCCCTAACCTCCACCAAAACCTTACCCTATACCTTACCCTATACCTTACCCTAGCACTAACTTTAACCTGCAGTATCATCACCTGGAGTGTTATACAGTGTGAGATGATGATGATGATGATGATGATGATGATGATGATGATGATGTTCTCTCACACCTCTCCAGCTGTGGGTGGGTATGCCCGCCTGGTACGTGGCAGCGTGTCGAGCCAATGTGAAGAGCGGTGCCATCATGTCGGCCCTGTCGGACACAGAGATCCAGAGGGAGATTGGCATCAGTAACCCCCTGCACCGCCTCAAATTACGCCTGGCCATACAGGAGATGGTCTCCCTAACCAGCCCCTCTGCCCCGCTCACTTCTAGAACGGTACTCACACACACATACACTACCAGTCAAAAGTTTGGACACACCTACTCATTCAAGGGTTTTTCTCTTTTTTACATTGTAGAATAATAGTGAATACATCAAAACATGTAGTAACAAAAGTTGAACAAATCAAAATATATTTTATATTTGAGATTCTTCAAATAGCCACCCTTTGCCTTGATGACAGCTTTGCACACTCTTGGCATTCTCTCAACCAGCTTGGAATTTATTTCCTTAATGCTTTGAGCCAATCAGTTGTGTTGTGACAAGGTAGGGGGGGTATACAGAAGATAGCCCCATTTGGTAAAAGACCAAGTCCATATTATGGCAAGAACAGCTCAAATAAGCAAAGAGAAACGACAGTCCATCATTACTTTTAAGACATGAAGGTCAGTCAATACGGAACATTTCAAGAACTTTGAAAGTTTCTTCAAGTGCAGTCACAAAAACCATCAAGCGCTATGATGAAACTGGCTCTCATGAGGACCGCCACAGGAATGGAAGACCCAGAGTTACCTCTGCTGCAGAGGATAAGTTCATTACAGTTACCAGCCTCAGAAATTGCAGCCCAAATAAATGCTTCACAGAGTTCAAGTCACAGACACATCTCAACATCAACTGTTCAGAGGGGACTGTGTGAATCAGGCCTTCACGGTCGAATTGCTGCAAAGAAACCACTACTAAAGGACACCAATAAGAAGAAGAGACTTGCTTGGGCCAAGAAACACGAGCAATGGACATTAGACCGGTGGAAATTTTTCCTTTGGTCTGGAGTCCAAACTGGAGATTTTTGGTTCCAACCGCCGTGGCTTGGTGAGACGCGGAGTGGGTGAACGGATGATCTCCGCATGTGTATTTCCCACCATAAAGCATGGAGGAGGAGGTGTTATGGTGTGGGGGTGCTTTGCTGGTGACACTGTCTGTGATTTATTTAGAATTCAAGGCATACTTAACCAGCATGGCTACCACAGCATTCTGCAGTGATACGCCATCCCATCTGGTTTGGGCTTAGTGGGACTATCATTTGTTTTTCAACAGGACAATGACCCAACACACCTCCAGGCTGTGTAAGGGCTATTTTACCAAGAAGGAGAGTGATGGAGTGCTGCATCAGATGACTTGGCCTCCACAATCCCCCGACCTCAACCCAATTGAGATGGTTTGGGATGTGTCGGACCGCAGAGTGAAGGAAAAGCAGCCAACAAGTGCTCAGCATATGTGGGAACTCCTTCAAGACTGTTGGAAAAGCATTCGAGGTGAAGCTGGTTGAGAGAATGCCAAGAATGTGCAAAGCTGCAATGAAAGCAAAGGGTGGCTATTTGAAGAATCTCAAATATAAAATATGTTCATATTTTTTAAATACTTTGTTGTTTACTACGTGATTCCAAATGTGTCATTTAATAGTTTTGATGTCTACAATGTAGAAAATAGTAAAAATAAAGAAAACCCTTGAATGAGTAGGTGTGTCCAAACTTTTGACTTGTACTGTACATACATACACACACACACTGCCCCTCACCTGTCACTTCTCACCTATGACCTTGTAATGGTACTGCTTTTGGAGTTCACAGTACTCTTCACTCTGTCCACTGGGCTGCATGGGGTGGAATGGGAACCCTACTCTCTCAACAATGTGCCAGATACTGCCTGCCTGATACACTCCCTCTCACTGAAGACACTGTATTTGTGTGTGTGTGTGTGTGTGTATGCGTGCATGTGTGTGCGTGCGTGCGTGTGTGTGCTCTCCCTCTGTGCAGTCCTCCGGAAATGTGTGGTTGACTCATGAAGAGATGGAGAACCTGGCTTCCTCCACTAAAGCGGTCAGTGCCATCTGGGTGGCCCCCTCCCCACCACACACTCAAATACACACACACACTTCACACACACACTCTGCCCCGCTGAGCTACACATATGCCTGCTTCCGCAACCCCTCACCCCCAGCCTCCAATAACTACAAAGTATACTGCCTGCCTGCCTGTTTGTGCTTGGGTAAGCATGTCTCTGGTGTGTCTGTAACATATTAGGCTCTGTTGTTTAGGTTGGTTATTGAGTATCCATTTATGCTGGTGTTGTGGTGTTGTGTTGTGTGGTGTTGTGTTGTGTGGTGTGGTGTTGTGTGGTGTTGTACTGTGTCAAACTGTGTCTTATTGTGTTGAATTGTGTCTCAGTATTTGTTAGCAAATTCTCTCAGTAACACAGTCTGGTACAGTTGATCCATCAATGCTTACCTCTATCCCTGGTCAGTTACATTGGTGCGTGTTACATTGATCACTCAGTGTGTGTGTGATTAGCATTAACTGACTGTGTGTGTGTGTCTAACACTATCTATCATGTCTCTGCCACGCTGTCAATCACTCAGGAGAATGAGGAGGGCAGCTGGGCTCAGGTGAGATAACTCCTCCCACTAACACCTGCTGTTGTCATAACGACCTATACCTGTGCCAGGATGCCAGGCGTTGTCACCAAGTCACAGGGAACACAGTCTCAGGCCACACACACACACACACACACACACACACACACACACACACACCTACACATCTGGTTAGTCCACACACACAGACAAACCTCTCAATTGTATCTAATCTGTGTCCCTCCTGACACACAGACTCTGGCGTACGGGGACATGAACCATGAGTGGATAGGTAATGAGTGGCTACCCAGCCTGGGTCTGCCTCAGTACCGCTCCTACTTCATGGAGTGTCTGGTGGACGCTCGCATGCTGGACCACCTCACCAAGAAAGACCTCCGCACACACCTCAAGATGGTCGACAGCTTCCACAGGTCAGTCACCATGGTAACCAGCCAGCCACCATGGCAACAGCAGCCGTTGTTAGGAGTTACCATGCCACAGCTTCAATCTCAATGTAGGAAAATACACATACAAGTGGTGAAATGTGTCATATGTATGTATTCAATTTGTGCAGTCAATTGACAGTAAATGTTGAATTCATTCTGACACTGATGTGTGTGTGTGTGTGTGTGTGTGTACCAGGGCCAGTCTGCAGTATGGGATTATGTGCTTGAAGAGACTCAATTACGACAGAAAAGATCTGGAACGTCGTAGAGAGGAGAGCATGCACGACATGAAAGGTAAACACACACACAGGACATCATTGCAGCTCACCAGTGAGATCTCAATTGTCTGTAGACAGAGCTCCATAAGGTGGTGTAAGGCTGAACTGACTCAAGGTGGCTGAATCTCTATGTATGGACCAGGCTGGTCACTAGAAATAGCCTTTGATTTCGCACTGGCGCGAACTCATGATGCTCGGAGGTGAAGCGCGCTGCTCTGACCACTGCGCCACGGCAGTTCACAATGCTCTACCAAGCCAGGAGATGACTTGATGCGGGTTGTTTTAAATTATTTTGTTTTAAGCCTTCCCCAAACCATAGCCCTAACTTTAATCCCTTGGAATTACAGTAATACCTTAACTTAATCCTTAACAGTTGTTTCTGTTTTAACCCTGTAACCACGCGTAATTAATGCGTCAGAAATAGACATTCAGCCATAATACGGCAAATTTCTAAGTGAAGGTTGGTATGGACAGCTGAGCCTTTTACTGCTACTGTAGCTCCACACACACACACACACACACACACACACACACACACACACACACACACACACACACACACACACACACACACACACACACACAGAGAGCCAGATAAAACTTTGCCACCTTACGACCTTCAGCACTGCATATGAACTTGACTCAGCTGTCCTGTCACATCAGAAGCCCCCCTCCCCCCTCCACACACACACACACACACACACACACATACAGCTGTGTGGCAGCTGTGCTTATTCAGAACAAAGGGGGTTTGCCTCCGAGTGTACACTATTGAAGTGTGAATGCATTTGATATTACAGTAAATATATCTATCTGTATATGCACTGGTCTATATGTTGTGATAGTAATATACCTCTCTCTGTCTGTCTTTCACCCTCTCTCTCTGTAGATGCATTAGTGTGGACCAATGAGCAGGTGGTCCACTGGGTCCAGAGCATAGGTCTGAAGGACTACAGTAACAACCTGATGGAGAGTGGAGTCCACGGGGCTCTCATCGCTGTGGACGAGACCTTCGACTACAGCAGCCTGGCTCTCATACTGCAGATCCCCATGCAGAACACACAGGTACACACACACACACAACCTTGGTCGAGAGACTAGTGTTACCTAGGAGTGACGTCACCTGTTGGAAAACAATTATAGATTTTAGAACCTTGTCTATTCTCTCTGTATCTATATGCTGTATATTTACATTCACATTTTAGTCATTTAGTAGATGCTCTTATCCAGAGCGACTTACAGTTAGTGAGTGCATACATGTTCATACTGGCCCCCCGTGGGAAACAAACCCACAGCCATGCTCTACCAACTGAGCTACAGGGGACTGTGTGTGTGTGTGTGTGTGTGTGTGTGTGTGTGTGTGTGTGTGTGTGTGTGTGTGTGTGTGTGTGTGTGTGTGTGTGTGTGTGTGTGTGTGTGTGTGTGTGTGTGTGTGTGTGTGTGTGTGTGTGTGTGTGTGTGTGTGTGTGTGGTGTGTGTGCGTCCGTGGTGGTCGTGCGTGTGTGCGCTCCAGGCTCGGCAGGTTCTAGAGAGAGAGTTCAACAACGTCCTGGCCCTGGGCACCGATCGCAGACTGGAAGAGGTGAGTCACCAGGAAATACTGGACCCACAACTGTTTTTAGTTTTACCATCTTCATGGGAAATATGGATCTGTTTCTGTATTACCATTTTGCTTGCGTACAATAGTTTTTACATTACTGTTTACGCTCTCTCTCTCTTTCTCTATCTCTCTTTCTCTCTGTAGAGTGGGGATGATAAGACGTTCCGCCGCTCTCCATCGTGGCGGAAGCGTTTCAGGGCGCGGGAGGGAGGGGGAGGGATGGGCATGATGGCGGGCTCCATGGAAACACTGCCCGCTGGGTTCCGTATGCCCTCCATGTCCATGCCCCCGTCTATGGCCCTGGTGCCCAAGAAACACCTGCAACCAGAAGGTGTGTGTGTGTGTGTGCGTGTGTGCGTGTGTTTGGAAGTGGGTACTGTATTCATAGTTGAATGAATTGCAGTCGTGTGGATGTGATGCGAGTGTGTTTGGCGATTCGCTGACAATTCAAGCACTAACAATAACAGCCACTAAATTATTTCATCTTAACGCTTGGTGTGTGTGAGGGTATTCATGCGTGTGTGTGCTGTTTTCTCTGCTTTGCCTGACTCACTGCACGCTGTCTCCTCTCTCTCCCGGTCTGCCACGCCCATTTCTGCCACGCCCTGTCTAGCTCCTCCCCCGGCTCCCCAGAGACTCGACCCCTCTGCTGTACGGACGTACTCATGCTAACTCCACTCCATTTACTAACAGGAGATAACGCTAACAGGTAAGACAACCTAGCAATGCTAACAAATGGCTATGGCCAAGAGCCTTTTTCTGACAAGCAATGCTAATAAAAGGATTAGGGAATCCTCATGCTAATTCAACCCCAGTTACTAACAGAAGGGCTAACGCTAAGAGGTAATGTTACATTTAGGTAAGGTTCTAACCCAGTTCTAACCTATTCTAACTTGATAAGGGTGCTGCTTTAAACTACTGTAAATGACTAAATCCTACACCCTCTGCCTTTTTATCTCTCTCTCCTTCCCTCTTTCTTTCTATCTCTTTCAGTGCATTCCCATTACCTTTATGGACACATGCTTGCGGACCTTCGAGAGTAACATGCCAAATTTGGGAGAGATCTGGACTTTAAGGGACCTGTATCCAGCGTCACCTCTCACCTTCTCTCTGGGACATGTGCAATACAGAGGTGACCTCTGACCTTTTGACCTTTGAACTCTGAGCGTGCTCATTGGCCGCGCTCGCTGCTGTAAAGGAGCCTCTGCCCAGTCTCTATTCCCAGTAAACCCAGTACCCCCAGTAGCCTTGTTGTTGTGGTGTCGCGCTCCCGCTCCCTGGTCTAGTCCTAATTCCTAATCTGTGGGTTCTAGTCCTAATTCCTAATCTGTGGGTTCTAGTCTAACTCTACACTAACTCCTGGCTGTTTCAATGACAAATCCCACCTACATGTTGCCCGCTCTCGGTTATGCAAGGTATTAATCATTTATTGTCTCTCTCTGTAAATAAAATGGATGACATGTTTTTTTAAATAAATATATATAAATATATATATTGGAATTATATAGGGAGAATATTATAATATCATTGCTGTATGAAACCCAATGCCCTGTATTCAGTGGTGACTGTTCTCTGTGTGTGTTGGACCTCTGTGTGTCTTATATGCTGTCAGTGTCTGAAACGCCAGTTACATGAGGGATTCACTAAGCAGGGAGGGGTGTGTTACTCTATGTGAATACTACTACTATGATTCTCAGCCACAGGTTCATGGGTCCAGATCTAAACGCTTCAGTTATCTTTCCTGCCTTTTATCCCCTCCTTTCCTTCTCTCTTTTCCTATCTCCTTTCCTCCTTCCCCATCTCCTCTCCTCCTTCCTTTTCCTCTCCTCTTGTTTCCTCCTTTCCTTCCCTTATTTGACACTATGTAGCTACCATGAGTAGAGTAGTTGATCCTGTGGATATGAGAGGGTACAGTATGAGCTGTGTGTGTAAATGAAAGCAATAGGCTCCTATATCTCGGACTTGAGGGAAACAGCATGCTATGAAAGCGAAACCCCAGACTAACCTTCATGGATGGATGGTGTTGTTTTTCTCTACTTCGTTTCAAATCAAACTGTAAATTGCTGCTCGGCATCAGCCAAATGAAATCCTCACAAACAGGTCACCTGACAGACAGTGATGATGCCATATATGGACTGTTCCCCTGGCCCCTCCCCTTCCTGTCCAGTTGCCATGGGGATGTGAAAGTGGCCAATGATGGTGTCGACCACTAGCAAGTGTTGTGTGTGTGACCTCCTCTCCTCCAATGAGAGAGCTCTATCAGTGAACCAGTGAAGTGTCGGATGGGTGTATTTTGTTTTTTATTTTACAGCCAATGTTTTAAAGGTGTCTAAAAAGTGTAATGTGCTACTGTGGCAGCTATGAGTATTGTATGTGTATTTATTCCAGGTGTGAAATGATGCTGACAAATCAAGATTTTATTATTTGGCTATTTAAAAAGTGTATTGTATTTATGACACTATAGACATAAGTAAAGCTGTTTTTTTAAAGATAAATGTTGATGTTGTGTGTTCATTTTGAGGTGATGGTTGGCATGCAAGTGTGTGTGTGTGTGTTGAGACGTTAAATGCGGCCAAGTATTGAAAATGGTCTTTAATGCACGTTTGGACAGAAATATTACTTCTTGGAACATCTACAAATAAACAACAATCTTTATTGTTAAAGTCAAAAATAAGTTAGCAAAAAAATATAAAATAAAATATCAAAACCACTGTAGAAAAACTGAACGTATTTACATCACTAGCATTCATTACCAGTTTAAATTAAGCAGAAATCATTGGTCAAAACTGCCATGGTACATATTGGCCCCACAAATAATAAACTCGTGTTTTTAAGTATAACACACGCAAACAGAATGCATGATCGGGGAAAGATTTAGAAAAGAAGGAAACATGGATTTCTCTGCATTAAGTCAGGACAAAAAAACTGCTTTCTCATTGCTCCTTCCAAGTGGCACTTAGGACCTGAGTCCTTACTTGAGATCCACACAGGTAACTGGATCTTTGTTCCTAAATCATGCATTGATTGATTTTAGCGGGATCTCAGGTTAGGATCTGACCTGACCGGTAACCTACTGGGAGGGAGGTGTGGACCACAGGGTTTGGTAGTTAGGGAATAAGGTCTCAAGCCTGGAAGAGGTGTGTCCAGCTCACAAGACCTGACCAGGAGAAACCCCCTGGCCCATGTTGGTGTGTATTGTGGTGTGTGAGTGAGTGGTGTTGGTGTTGTGTGTTGGTGCTGTGTGGGGTGTTGTGTGTTGGTGTATGGTGCTGTGTGGTGTCCTAGGACTAATTGGACCTGACTGGGACAGGCCCTGCTCTTCCTTCCTCCCTTCTTTGAAGCAGTCACTGATCTTACATGATTGGATAGGTGCAGGGTAGGTTCCACTGCATAGATTTCACCTATCCATTTATATCAGATCAGGGGAAGGAGGAAAGAAGGGTGGATTTGTATTGGAAGTAGAAGTATCGGAACAGGGCCCTGTTAACAGCACACGTAAGGCAGCTGCTCTGGGTTCATTTGGGAATGTCCACAGGTACAGGGTAGGCCACCAGAGCCCCCTCTACTGCTGTGATGCTGTCCACCATGGACGTCAGAGAGCATAGGTTAGTCTGCTCTGGAGAGTCTGCACTTAGGAGGTCTAGAGGGAGACAGGAGAGAGGCTGTCAAAACTAACACTTCCAACAAGTTCTGGGTGCAATTCTCAAATGTAATACAGTGTGTGTTTGTTTGGGTGTGGATGTGTGTGTGTTTAAAGGTGGCAGGTAGCCTAGCGTTTAAGAGCATTGGGCCAGTAACCGAAAGGTCGCTGGTTCGAATCCCGAGAAAACTAGGTGAAAAATCTGTCGATGTGCCCTTAAGCAAGGCACTTAACCCTAATTGCTCCTGTAAGTCGCTCTGGATAAGAGCATCTGCTAAATGACGTAAATGGTTTACCCTCATTGCTGTAGCTATGGGTGCAGTGGTCTGAGGTGTTGCTCCACTCTGGGCTGCTACAGCAGGTGCTGCCTGATCCCCGCTCGCTCGACGACGACACCTGTTACCATGGAGACACACAGCGCCCCGAGCTATGACACGTTACGCCACACCCCACACAGACATCAACAGTGACACACACACCATCTCATTCACAACTATGCACACACTACACTACTCACAATGACAAACAACTATTGATCATCTCTCTGTTGTAGCTTGCCTGTCTAGACAGCTCTTTTTCAATGACTCATCAAACACACACACACTATGCACACTACAACTGCACTTTCACAATGAGTTTGTACATCAACTGTTGTACTACTGTGTTATAAATCATCCATTACAACTGTTTCTAAAAGCTGGTAGATTAAGATGAAACTAAATCAAGATTAGGTGAGCACTCAGTGAGTGTTGTGTTTGTAGGACTATTGAGGAATAAGAAGAATGTATGAGGCGTCTCTTAAAACCAAAGCCATAGCAGCACTCCCAAGGGAATTTACACACCGCGGTCAAATGTTTGAATATCCCTCTAAGTGATGTTCTGTCTGTGTTGTTGATGGATGGTTTGATGAGGGTTCTGTCCGCAATACTTGTCTAGGACAACTGTCAATGAATGCAATACTTCTGTTCTGGAGCTGCTCTGTTGAAACCTATTCCACGAGAGATGAACCCCATATATCAGAGTTTATAGACCCCATATAGAGCTACGCTCCTACCAGACTTCTACTAGTACACACACAACTAAACAGCCTGCTCTGTACACCTCACACACCCAACCACCAATCACCTTACCTAAAGCACTGCCAATACCTGTACTAAAATGTGATGATTTCTAATACATTTTAGGCGATTATCTCCGTCTGTATGATTCCCATCCCTGGCTCTAATTATCTCTGGTCCCTCTCCCTTCACTCCTCCTTCCCTTCATCCCTCTCCAGTCTGCCTCTCCCTCTTTCACTCCTCTCTCATCCGCTGTCATTTCCCGCTCTCCCTTTATTCACCTCTTTTTTCTTATTTTGCCTTTTCCTCTTGCTCTTCCACATCTATCTCTGACCTCTGACCTCTCCTGTCCTCATCTATCTCTGACCTCTCCTGTCTTCATCCATCTCTGACCTCTCCTGTCCTCATCTATCTCTGACATCTCCTGATCTATCTCTGACCTCTCCTGTCCTCATCAACCTCTGACCTCTCCTGTCCTCATCTATCTCTGACCTCTCCTGTCCTCATCAACCTCTGACCTCTCCTGTCCTCATCTATCTCTGACCTCTCCTGTCCTCATCAACCTCTGACCTCTCCTGTCCTCATCTCTCTGACCTCTCCTGTCCTCATCAACCTCTGACGTCTCCTGTTCTGTCCTCATCTATCTCTGACCTCTCCTGTCCTCATCTATCTCTGACCTCTCCTGTCCTCATCTATCTCTGACCTCTCCTGTCCTCATCTGTCTCTGACCTCACCTGTCCTCATCTATCTCTGTTCACCTCCCTCCATCCCTCTCTCCTTGCTTCTATCTGGCTCCATCCTTCTCTTTCTCCCAGTCCTCTGCTCACTCTAGGCTGGCATGGTTCCTCCATCTCTCACTCTGTCCATCCCTCCCTCCGTCCCTCCCTCCCTCCATCCCCCCCTCCGTCCCTGTCTCCTACTCACCCTGGGTTGGGCTGATCTGGTGTGGTAGTGTAGGCCCTGTGCTCCCTGGTCGTTCTCCTGCTGGTTGAGGGAGGAGACAAGTGTCTGCAGCCTCTCAATGTACTGGATGGCGCTCCTCAGGATCTCCACCTTGGGCAGCCTCTGGTTGGGGTTCATCAAGGTGCTCCTCTTCAAGGCCTCGAACGCCTCGTTCACCTTCTTTAGCCTCCTCTTCTCCCGCATTGTGGCCGCTTTCCGCCGGTCCATGGTGACCGTCTTGCGTTTGCAAAGCTTGCAGGCCCAGGGCAGGCACTGGCTGGGGCAGTGGGGCTCAGAGTGGGGGGAGAGACCGGAGGGGGATGTCTTCCCTCCACCCACAGCGACACCCTCGGACAGACCACCACACAGCCCCATCATGGAGCCCCCACGCTCCTGGTAGCCCCCCTGGTCGTACCCGCCCGGCAGGCGGGACTGGTAGAAGCTGTCCTCCGCCTCGTAGAAGCGCTGGTCTGGGAAGAAGTAGGGGTTGGTCTCGAAAAGCTCCATACTGGTCGACACTGATGTTTAGGGGACGAAGACTCCGGTTTGGTTCCTCTGGGCTCTGCCGTGTGTGTTCTGTAGGGGTGTTAGGTCCGTGTGTGTTGGAGTGAATGTCTGAGTGAGCCTCTCCAACTCCTGGCCTGGGTTAGTGAAGAGAGGAAGATGTGTGGAGAACAACTGGTGTGGAGAAGCAACTGCAGGGTGGCATTTAAACCCTCTGCCTGCTGCAGGATCACAGGGTTAAATTTAGCACGAGCCAAGAGAAACCTGACACAACGTTTAGCTGTTGCTGCACATCTAAACTTCACATCTCTGTTGGGCCCTGCTCTCCAGGTCTTTAGTCCCATGTGTGTGTGTGTGTTTTTGTGTGTGCAAGGGTGGCTATGTCTATGTGCTTACTCGCGTGTGCATGTGTGCAGGGTAAGCGTCGCCCCATGGCATAGTAGAGGATGGAATATGATCTGGTTGCCGTGGAAATGTATCAGATTACCTCAGATCTGACTAGGGAATCAAAGATGGCTGCCTTAATTAACTAATCCCATCCTCACGTCCCCCTCCATGACACCATGCCTGAAGTCCCCAACCATACAGTCTACACACAGCTGTCACCTCCAATCTTAAGTCACCATACTTGATGACAGAAAGTACCACAGTAGCTTTTGTCAAAGTTATTGATTGAGGGCCTCCCGAGGGGCGCAGCGGTCTAAGGCACTGCAGTGCTAGAGGCATCACTACAGACCCGGGTTCGATCCCAGGCTGTGTCGCAGCTGGCCGCGACCGGGTGACCAATGAGGCGACGCACAATTGGCCCAGTGTCATCCGGGTTAGGGGAGGGTTTGGCCGGGCGGGATGTCCTTGTTCTATCACGCTCTAGCGACTCCTGTGGCGGGCCGGGCGCATGCATGCTGACACGGTCACCAGGTGTACAGTGTTTCCTCCAACACATTGGTGTGGCTGGCTTCTGGGTTAAGCGAGCAGTGAGTCCGTACGGGAGTTGCAGCGATGGGACTAGACTGTAACTACCAATTGGATATCACAAAAAAAGGGGTAAAAAATAAGTTATTGAAGGAAAAGGTATTTTGATTTTGACTGATGTTTTATCACTATGAAGTTCATGGGGACAAATAATCTGATTCAGATTTAGAGTTTCATCTCGATATGTTTTCCATATCTGATTTGGAGTCCTCATTGTTTGGCTTTGAGCCCAAGAGAATGGATGTAGCACCATAGAATAGAATGAATAGAACGGGCTTGGAATTTCTAACCCTGGCAATTTGACTGGTAAACTAATGGGTACACTCACAATGGCTGCCTGGTATTGTGATGCAATACTTTCCATGGTAACGTAGAATGTTCATTCAAATTATGTTAACTGATGTGGCTCATGCAATGTAATGTATTTTGTGTAATGTCAGTTGAGTTGAATCAACAAATCACAGTACATATTGATGGGTACAGTTCCTGCTTTTACTTCTTGCTTTTACTTCCTGCCTTGCTCCTATCGGTTCACTTGCAATGAACGCCAGTCCACCCATTACCCCATCAGTGACTTGAATGGGGATGCCCGTTCTATTCATTCTATTTCTATGGTAGACACAAAACTGGACACCTCTTACCCGGAGTGACTGTGGGCCTATTTTCCACTGTCTGGTACAGTCTGTACAGGCTAGAGTTGACATTGCCTGGTATGTCTTAGCAGTGAAAGTCACATCCGGTAAGATGGCCTTGGTTGTCCTGACCCTGTACAGAATGTTAGCCTAGCCGCCGGGTGCCTAATCCCTTAGGATGTGTCTCACCTCGTAGCTCACAGGCTAATTCTGACAGGCTTCCGCTCGGACGCATCATCAACCACACAGGCTTATCTACTGGTCCTGACACCGCAGCAGTCGTCCGGGCAACCTGGCATGGGGACGTTTCCATACTTTTAGCTGGGCATGGAACCTGTCTGTCACAGTCCTGTCTGTCCCTCTCATAGCCCTGTCTGTCTCTCTCATAGTCCTGTCTGTCTCTCTGTATGTCCCTCTCATAGCCCTGTCTGTCTTTCTCATAGTCCTGTCTGTCTCTCTCACAGTCCTGTCTATCTCTCTGTCTGTCCCTCTCAAAGCCCTAGCCGGTGGTCAATAAGGTTTTGTAGTGGAATGAGGCACCTGTCTGATTTTTTCATAGATCACTGACATACTGTCATGTTTGGCCCAATGCCTGCAGACTGGGTTGTTGGGTGGGGCAGAGCTGTGTTGGGTAGTGATCAGGGCAATGGACTGGGTAGTGGTGGGTAGTGGTCTGGGGCAAGCCTGGGTAGTGGTCTGAGGCAGAGCTAGGCTGGGTAGTGGTCTGGGGCATGGCTGGGTAGTGGTCTGGGGCTAGGCTGGGTAGTGGTCTGGGGCTAGGCTGGGTAGTGGTGGGTAGTGGTCTGGGGCAAGGCTGGGTAGTGGTCTGGGACAGGGCTAGGCTGGGTAGTGGTCTGGGGCAAGGCTGGGTAGTGGTCTGGGGCTAGGCTGGGTAGTGGTGGGTAGTGGTCTGGGGCAAGGCTGGGTAGTGGTGGGTAGTGGTCTGGGGCAAGGTTGGGTAGTGGTGGGTAGTGGTCTGAGGCAAGGCTGGGTGGTGGTCTAGGGTTAGGCTGGGTAGTGGTGGGTAGTAGTCTGGGGGCTGGTAGGGCTGGTAGTGGTTCGGTGGAGGCTGGTAGTGGTCTGAGGCAAGTTTGGGTAGTGGTCTGGGACAAGGCTGGGTAGTGGTGGGTAGTGGTCTGGGGCAAGGCTGGGTAGTGGTCTGGCGCAGGGCTAGGCTGGGTAGTGGTGGGGTGGTAGTGGTCTGGGCAAGGTGGGTTAGGTGGGTAGTGGTCTGGGGCAAGGCTGGGTGGTGGTCTAGGGTTAGGCTGGGTAGTGGTGGGAGTGGTCTGGGGCAAGGCTGGGTAGTGGTCTGGGGCAAGGCTGGGTAGTGGTGGGTAGTGGTCTGGGGCAAGGCTGGGTAGTGGTCCGGGGCAAGGCTGGGTAGTGGTCCGGGGCAAGGCTGGGTAGTGGTCTGGGGCAAGGCTGGGTAGTGGTCCGGGGCAAGGCTGGGTAGTGGTCCGGGGCAAGGCTGGGTAGTGGTCCGGGGCAAGGCTGGGTAGTGGTCCGGGGCAAGGCTGGGTAGTGGTCTGGGGCAAGGCTGGGTAGTGGTCTGGGGCTAGGCTGGGTAGTGGTCCGGGGCAAGGCTGGGTAGTGGTCTGGGGCAGGGCAAGGCTGGGTAGTGGTCCGGGGCAAGGCTGGGTAGTGGTCTGGGGCAAGGCTGGGTAGTGGTCCGGGGCAGGGCAAGGCTGGGTAGTGGTCCGGGGCAAGGCTGGGTAGTGGTCTGGGGCAAGGCTGGGTAGTGGTCTGGGGCTAGGCTGGGTAGTGGTCTGGGGCAGGGTAGAGGGTAATAGTACTATAGTTGAGTGCAGGCTTGAGGTGGGCTGTCAGTTAGCCAGTGATGAACGGTCACTGATGGTGGAGGGAGTACAAAGACGTCTGTGTGGGTTTCAGAGAGGAGGGGGAGGGGGGCAGCAGCGTGTCAGAGTCACTCATAACCCTCACCCCCATCTCCCCTTCACACACATACATACACACACACTCACACACCTCCCCACGTCATTGTCAGCAGAACCCAAGAATGTGTGTATGTGTGTGTGTGTCTGTGCCAGCCGTACACTCTCCCTCAGAACCCCCCTAGTTGGGGAAAAGTCCTCTCAGCATTTAGAAGTGAAGGGGAATAGTGAAGTACAGTACACCAGGGGGTCCACAATGTTTACTTCTGGTCTGCAGTTGTTCTATTTTAGTTTATCTTTGGAATTCAGCACACAAGCCCTCAGACTCAGTCACAGCTCTGTGAGACTGATTGATACTCTGAGTAGTTGTCATAACCTGGGGGGACATTTTGACAGGTAGTGTCACCCTTGTCAAAACAGACCTGTTCACTTTGAATATACAAACTGTTTCATTTTGTACCTTCATTAATGATCTCTGCGGCTCTGCCTCCCTCTCCCTCTCCCTCTCCCTCTCCCTCTCCCTCTCCCTCTCTGGCTCTCGCTCTCTCTCTCTCTTCCTCTGTGTGTGTGTGTTTTTAATCTATTCTAGAAACAATATTCTTGAAACATATGTATGCATGATGTGGTTGTTTCACCTTCCTTCCTGTGCTTCTTGCCAATCAACATACCTATTATTAAATGTATTTGTAGATTGTAGTGGATGGAAAGGATGATAGAGTATGATGAAGTTGCCCCTGGAAACTGATCTATGGTCAGTTAAAAATGTTTCCCTCTGATGCTTGAGGATCTAGTTTGTCTCCTAGTGAAGATACCCAGAGTGTGGCTGTAATAGTCCAGGAATGTGTCCTCTCTCCCTGGCTCGGCTCCCGACTCTTAAAAAAATATTATGGCCTGCATAACTGCATGCAGGAGAGGGCAAGGTCACCATAGTGACAGCGACAGATGCCCCCTTGTCCATCATCACAGAGACGGGCTGTTGCTATTGGGGACTCGCCACGACAACTCCTCAGTCATTATGCTACAGCTAAATAGGAGAAGGGAAAGTATGACTATATGTCAATCAGTCAATCATTCAATGCACTCATCAATCAATCACGTGTCACATACCCATGGTTTTGGTTGGTTGACATGCCCATGTGTGGGGGAGGCAGAGGTGTATTAATCAACCACCTACCTATGAGTCAGATAATGAACAGCAACTGTCTCTAGGAAACCCAGCAGCTCCTAGCAACGATCATAGCAACTAGATGATAACAGAAATGTGCACTGAACAAAAATATAAATGCCACATGCAACAATTTCAAAGATTTTACTGAGTTACAGTTCAAATAAGGAAATCAGTCAATTTAAATAAAATCATTAGGCCCTAATCTATGGATTTCACATGACTGGGAATACAGATAATGTATGCATCTGTTGGTCACAGATACAGTACCTTAAAAAAAAAGGGAGGGGCGGGGATCAGAAAACCAGTCAGTATCTGATGTAACCACCATTTGCCTCACAGCGCAACACATCTCCTTTGCATAGAGTTGATCAGGCTGTTGATTGTGGCTGGTAAGTATGCAAGCCATGGAAGAACTGGGACATTTTCAGCTTCCAGGAATTGTGTACAGACCCTTGCGACATTGGGACCATGCATTATCATGCGGAAACTGAAGTGATGGCGGCGGATGAATGGCATGAC